TAGTGGGTTTGTGTCAACCATGTTTAATATTGTTTTAATGTCACCTTTGCACTATTTATAACATTTCTGGTATATTTTTAAATGTTCATACAGTAGTGTACTGATTGTAATAAATAGAACAGAGGAAATCAGCTCTAATATACATTATTTAGGTATGCATATTTGTCAGAGAGCCCATCGTAAGTCTGAATCGTTGGTAAACGAGTACGTCACTAAGTGAGGAAAAGCTGTATAATTTTTACAAAAAATATCATAGATGGATTAATTTAAATATTTACATTAACGTAATATACATACGACATTTAATGCGCCTCAGTTATTATCATTGGGTATTATTATTATTATATCATTATCAATATGGCATCCTCAAGACTAGTAAGTCATTCTTAGTTATTTTAATGTGTACCTGCATGCCAGCACAATGTGTAAGTTTATTTAGGTACAGGTTCCAGAAGGTCGGCTGAAAACCGACTTGTACGAAAGCTTAAGTAATATTTCCCATAAGAAATAATATAAACCAAATCAATCCGTTCCAGACACCCAAAAATATTAACAAAAAATTCATTTTATAGAGAATAACTATAGTTTTACATACAGAAAACACTAATGAAATGGATAAATGAACATTTAAATCACTTTTACCTGTATTGAAGATTCTTGTTGGCGTATGGAAGACAGTGAGGAGGGGAGTGGGAGGAGAGATTATCTCTACCACCATCACTACCACCCGCTACCACCATCATTACCACCCTCTGCCACCATCACAACCACTACCACCACTACCACAATCACTTCCCCCCCTTTTTAACCACCATCATTACCCCCACCCTTTCCCCACCCTCTACAAGTAAAAAAAGGCGAAAAGAGTCAAAAAACTACAAGTGGTTTTAACTTTTCCGCGGTAGACGGAAAATCTGGTTTGGAAAATTTTTCCCCCGAGCGGGCGTAAGAAAACGGGGAAAAATTTCCCCGAAAAAAAGTGGCCCGAAAACTAAATTGTACGAAAACCCGGGAAACCAGACAAAACCCAGGGTTCCACGTTTTTATAAAACTTGAAATTTGGGGGAAAAGTTTTCCACCCATAAGGGGAGAGAGAAGAAACTAGGGGAGAATTTTAAAAAACTGGGTGGGGTGCGGTGGCCGTATTAAAAAGTCCGGGGGAGGGAACTGTAAAAAGCGAGTTTTGGTCATAATTTGAAATGTCCTTTGTTAGGGAACACCATAAGAAAAAAACCGCCTTAACCCTTTCAGGGCCCCCCATAGATTTTGGGCCCTCCACTTTTAAAGTGCCCCAAACCTAGATTACCCCAAAAATTCCCAAAGCGCCGTAAAATTTAGGGGAAAAAACGCTCATGGCCTACATGTGAGAGAAGGGGTTGCGTGGGGGGTTTGCCCCAAAAAAAAATTCCCCCGCCCGCATGGGCATTGGGGAAAAACCCCCGGGGCCCTCAGTTACCCTTGTTCACCTTTGACTCGTCGCAATTTAAAGTCTCACCCCCCGGGAAAAAATTGGGACCTCCTTTTTTCCTTTCTGATAGTTCTGCATTTGAGGGAAGGGGGAAATAAAGACGAATTCTAGGGCTTTGATCAGTTAGTAAACCGAAAGGGGTGACCGGATATCGATAAAGTGCAAAAAACCCTGAAAACCCAAACCCTTTTTACCTCTTTTTGTGGGCACTGTGACTAGGTCGGTTTTGCCTAAACGCAAGGAAAACTAATTTTTCGCGGGCCCAGGCCTCGGGACTTGGGAAAATGATGTTTATAGGGATGGGGGAATTGTGATTTTTTTGCGCTCGACGATCATTCGGTAGTGAAGTAAAGGTTTCAATTCACCGTGAAGCGTCTATTTTTCGCCCCCGCATCCCGCTGGGTAGTGAAACCCAAAGCTGTGCCCAGGGGGAGGGAGTACACCCCGGGGCCCCTCCCTAAAACCAGTTTTGGGAGTGTTTAGTGGGGGTTGATGTGGCTAAATTTGGGCCAGGATAGACCCCCGGGGATCAGTGGTTGTGGTAGGGTGAGGGTTTATTTCCCACCCCATGGGGGGACTCACCACCCCAAAGTGGGACCCACGCTGCTGATCGTCATTTTCAAGGACAAAGCGGAGCGTCAGCCACCACCCAACAACCAAAACCACCAGAAACAACAACCCTATGATGTCCATACCCCCGGGCAAACCGAAATGGGGGGATTGGCAGCAAAACCCCAAATTTTTGCCCCCAAGCCTCACCACTTTGATGACTTCAAAGTGGAATTCTACCTATTTGGGCCCCTTTGGGAAACCCCGGCCAATGAACTGGAATTCTTTAAATTTATTCTTTGACCAGACCATTGATGGAAAACTATTGCCCGGGAAAGTAATAAGTTTTTGAGTTTCACCATGGCAAATACGATCATATCACCACATCAAGACTACACTGGTGGAAAGAGAGACTGTTGCAGAAATGTATTTGTTTTTTTCCAAAAAATAATGCCCTTTTGCCCTTTTTGTTATAAAAACATACTGGGCCAGAGAATTTTGGCTAATTTTTTACCCCGGTCTTTAGTGAAATCATCCCAGTGAACGGTTTATTTTTACTCTTTTTAAAAAGTTGCACTTCTCTGGGCAAAAACCCGGGCCTGCAGAAATGACAGGGTTTTATAAAATTAGAAATGTTTTCATGTTCTCAAAAAAAAAAGTTTAGCATAACTTTTATCCATTCAAGAATGTTGTAATTGACGAGTCTTTGATTTTTGTTCAAAGGTAACTGTCATTCAAGCAGTATATACCGAGCCCAAAAGGAAACGGGTTTGGTATAAAAATTTTGTCCTTGACTGTGACAAGGCCTGGTGTTTTGGTTTTTGTTGTAAAACAAAGGAAGTAAAAAAATTGAAAAATAAACCCAAAATGTTATTGGGTACTCAGGGGAGTAGTGAGAAACAGGGTGGGACCCCTTTTCTTGGTAAGGGGGGGGACTTTTAAATTTCCGATAAAATGGTACAACCAACCCATTACTCAGTGTTTTTATGTGAGTGAAAAAAAGACAGTGTGTGTGGGCCCCGTGCGTTCTAATCTAAACATATGCCCAGGTTTAAAAAGCAGGTGTCATGGTGATGCGTGCAGGGGGTTTACTGCAAATGACATCATGGGCCCTTTACGGGGCCCTGTACAAATGAGAGTCAATTGTTGACAAACCCTTCACTGTAAAGGAAAAGCAAGACAGTGGCCCCCGTTGATCAAATGACTAATAACGTATTCGAAAACCCAGTGAAAGTGAATTTATTATACACAAAAAATGCGCTTGGCTGACAAAAGTGACATGCAGATTGGTTTTTTTTTGACTGTGTTCCCTAAGGTTACAAGTGGTCATGAAACTTTTCCCTTTCCCTCTCATGGACTTTTCCCAAAGCTCAATGGGTTAATATGTACCAAAAAAGACTGGCAACGACCAACCGGATGGGAATTTTGTTTTTTCCCGTTTTCAGACAAACTCATAATGAATACCAGGTAAGAAAACCTGCCCATACCCAAAAAGGTCCTCGAAAATTTCCAGGATATACCCCAAACGTTGGGGGAAGGTGATCATTTCATAATACAGCTTCCTTCAACTCAGAAAAATTTGCTAAAAAAAGATTCATTGTCTGTGCACAAAAAAAACGAGGGAAAAAAAGCCAAAGACAAACGGTTTTTTGTGGGGAGGGAAAAGTAAGGTGCCCTGTGTATGGTGCCTTTTTTCAAAAGGGGTTCCACAAAACCCAGCAAATTCCCAAAAAACCCTGTCCAGTGATTGTAAATATTTTAAATATAAGATAGAACCCTTAAATATTATACAAAATTTTTGCATGTTTATTGTAATTTAAAAAACTGGTAAAAAAATAATTGAAATAAATTTAGTGCGGTTATTGTGTTCAATAATGAGTTTTTTATAAAACATTATATACAGTATTGGCTCTCAGGGCCCCAAAAATTAGTTTGGAAAGAAAAAAATTGGAAAAAAAAAAGAAAAAAAAATATAAAAAAAACCCCTAAATAATTTTAATGCTGGGGATGTGGGGTTGTCATGTTGCCGCCCCCACCAAAATTTTTTGGGGGACAAACTTCGGGCAGGTTTTCTCGGTAAGTACTGATAAATTTTTTTTTTGTCTTAAATTTCCTTCACAAAAAAAAAGCTCTTTAATTCTGTAAGAATTTTTTTTTTTTTTTTTTTTTTTTCAAAATTTCTTGGACACTGAAGCACCACTTCAGATTTTGGCCTTGGACCCTGAAGGGGTTAAAGTGGGGCCCTGCTGTACTTGCAGTATTACGGGGGGTGTAGTCTGCACTTAGTGATTTTTGTTGCCATAAATTTAGTGCAGAAGGGGGATTATTTATTTATTTATTTTAACACTTCAGTCGTCTCCCACCGACACAGGGTCTCCCACCGAGGCAGGGTGACCCAAAAAGGAAGAAAATCTCCAAAAAGAAAATACTTTCATCATTCAATACTTTCACCTCACTCATACATAATCACTGTCTTTGCAGAGGAGCTCAGATATGACAGTTTAAAAGTCAACCTCCAAACTGCCAATATCCCAAACCCCTCATTTAACCCTTAAATGGTCTAAACGTATGTATACGTTTTTTCAACATTTGAAAGTATGTAAAAAAAGTAGATATTCTTTTTGTTTTTCTACATTTGAAAATGTGTAAAAAATTGATTTACTTTTTTTTTGTTATATTTGAAAATGTGTAAAAAATTGATTTACTTTTTTTTTGTTATATTTGAAAATATGTAAAAAAAAAACTTAGATCTACTTTTGTAGCACTACACATGTGAATGTAGCTCTGCTTGGACTGTTTACAGGTTAAAGTGCAGGCATTGTACCTCCCATTTCCAGGACTCGAGTCCAGCTAACTGGTTTCCCTGAATCCCTTCACAAAATATTACCCTGCTTACACTCAAACAGCTCATCAGGTCCCAAAAACCATTCGTCTCCATTCACTCCTATCTAACACACTCACACATGCTTCCTGGAGTCCAAGCCCCTCGCCCACAAAACCTCCTTTACCCCCTCCCACCTTTTCAAGAACTACCCCTACCCCACCTTCCTTTCCCTTCAGATTTAGATTTATAAGCTCTCCAAGTCATTCTACTTTGATCCATTCTCTCTAAATGACCAAACCATGTCAACAACCCCTCTTCAACCCTCTGATTAATACTTTTAGTAACTCCATGCCTCCTCCTAATTTCCACACACTGAATTGTCTGCATAATATTTACACTACACATTGCCCTTAGACAGGACATCTCCACTGCCTCCAGCTGCCTCCTCGCTGCAACATTTGCAACCCAAGCTTCACACCCATACAAGAGTGTTGGTACCTCTATACTTTCGTACATTCCCTTCTTTGCCTCCTTGGATAATGTTGTTTTGTCTCTACAGATACCTCAACGCACCACTCGCCTTTTTTCCTTCATCAATTCTATGGTTAACCTCATTCTTCATAAACCCATCTGCTGACAAGTCAACTCCCAAATATCTGAAAACATTCACTTCTTCCATACTCCCTCTCTCCAATGTGATATCCAATTTTTATCTAAATCGTTTGATACCCTCATCACCTTACTCTTATCTATGTTCACTTTCAACTTTCTACCTTTATACACCCTCCCAAACTCATCCACTAACCTGTGCATAAAATTATATGTATTCTTCAGAACAGTACCATGGTAAGATATGAGGAGACTTCCTCACATGTTCTTATATGATTAATCAGGAAATAGTTATTTATATTTTGAATGTTGAAATAAAATCAAGAAAATATTGTAGGCTTATACCACATAGGATGTTTATGTACAGTATCAACAAATTAGATTGGAAACAGTGAACTCGGTGGTAGACGGCCGACTTGTTAAAAAAAAAAAAAAAAAAAAAATTTAGATGCATTTCTCTCATCAAGATTTCATGTTCAGCATTAAAAATTTGTGCTTTATAGTGGTAAGCTCCGGAACTTGAACGCAGTTGAACTGATGTGCTGGCAGTGTGGTTTCCTGGTTCCATGAATCTTGCATCAGTTATCAGCTTGGAAACTGGTGCCATTTATGCTGAACTATTCTTTCACCTGCAAGAACTGCTCTTCAACTGGTGTTGAGGCCTTTCGCAAATCTCAGGCACGTAAGTATTATAATGCCATTTTCATTTATATTTTAATTAAATTGAACAGTAGATTTCCATTATGCTTAATGAACTTTCCTTTAAAGGTAAATTCTCATTCCTTTCACGCAGAACTTCGAGACATGTGTATAACAGCTTTAGCAAACTTGCAGCATGCAAGCAGTAAGATGGGAAAGGAAACACAATGTTTAGCCTGCAGAGGGATGTCATACCCTTCTTAGAACAAAACTGGAGGAGGCGCTTACCACTGCTGCACGACGTTCCACTCAGTCATGGCATACAACAGTGAGTGTTTCCTTATAAATGTGGTATGTGAATAATTAAAGATGTGTTTAAGGAGACTTGTATATCACTGGAAAAATATACTGACAAATATGTGAATAAGATGCACTTTGTGGGTAATGACACTTACTGAGAATAAATGCAATGTGTTGTATTCCCACTAAGGAGACTTGGCCATAGTCACCACCTGATATGGACTGAACCCACATACTTTGGTTTTGACCTACATATTTCTCCCTCTCATGCACTTATAAAAAATAGTAGAGATGACAAGAAAAAATGTGGTAATAGCTATATCTAAGTACAGCATATCAGCTAGCAAAAGTCAGTTAGATAGGAAGATAGTATGAAAATGTCCCTTGCATCATCCGTAGTTGCCAGGAAAACACACTTCTTTATCTCCTTCCTGTGCCTTTATCATCCTGAGTAAAGTGGTAGAGAGACCTTATATGTGGGCAAAGTACTAAGTATACATGTAAGTTTATAAATTGTATTGTTTTGTGGAATTGAACAGATTGAAAGACGAGGTAGTAAGTGCTATAACGACTTAACTTTTTTAATATTTATGTGATAAACATATTAACAAAGACAGGATACAATGACCATAACTCTACTTCTGCAGCTACAACTAAGTAACAAGTGAATAATTAGGCAACCAACAAATCCTAAGTAACCATCAGGGTTTTACATACAGCGACTTCAGATTTGAAAGAGTGACGGTGGCACTAAAATGTGAATGCTGGGTTAATACTATGGTGTTTCCTCAGTCGCAGAGATTCAACATTTTCTGTTCCTACATAGTCTTGTGTTTATGAATTATTGGTGTTAATCTGTTATAATTGGTAAAATTTCGTTAATTTACATTATTCTAACATCAGTAATATATATTTGGCATAGGCATGTAAAATAAAAAAAAACATTAGAATTGAGAGGGCAGGTTTAGCCAATGCTACAGGTGACTATTATAATTTAGATTAGCCTAACCTAAATAATGTGGGACTGACAGTTATTCTGTTCACTGTATATATTTCACAGGAAAATAACAATTCATATTTTATATGAAGACCAGTGTGATACACTAAGTGTACAATATTATGTTTCACTGAATAGTATATATAAATCTTCTCTTACTTGTGAGGCCCTGCCATTGTTAATGACACTTGACTCTAGGCACCCTGTGATATAAGAACATAATAAGAAGAAGCACTGCAACAGGTCTATATAACCCATGATAAATTGAACATTTGCCTGGGATTGATATGTGGAAAACAAACTTCCAGGTCTTCTTTTACTGAAAAGTAGAAAGCAAACAAACATTTTCTGTATGTGCAGCTAGAAATCAACTGATTATAGGTTTGTGTTAACCCTACACTGTTGGGAAATGACTGATTGTAATTTTTTATACCAATAACCATTATCACTTATTAAAAAATAAGTTACACATTACAGGTAAAATTGATACTCTAGTGTTTTTCCTTTATCTTGTACACACACTTTTTTTTTTTTAACATGTCAGCCGTTTCTTACCGAGGCACAAAAATCACATACACAAATCACGTGCAGAAAACACACACACAGCACAACACATACTTGCACACAGTAATTCTAAAAGTACTCTTTAAACAGATTCTGTTGCATCTGAGGGTGATGTTGCAAGTTATGCCAGGTGATAGAGACCATAACCATACATAAAATAGAAGTATACTGTATCCTAATTACTATTCTTGCCAAGAATTTTTCACATTTGTTAAGGGTGTTTTGATATAACTAAATTTCCACAAAATGGGTGAATTTTTATCACGAGACTTGTATGACAACCTAATAAGTGACCTTAAAAAATGGATTGGATTTTTTATATTCTACTTCAAAGCTGCAAAGAAATAAAGATGTGAGCTAGGAGGGAAACTGTCACCAGGTTCACAATAAAACCCACACACCATTTTTTATGGTCATTTATTAGGTTGTAATACAAGTCTCGTGATAAAAATTCACCCATTTTGTGGAAAATGAGTTTCAAAGCACCCTTAACAAATGTGAAAAATTCTTGGCAAGAATATTTTTGCAATCATTAAGGTTGTTTAAGTGTTACTAATAACACATAATATATGCAAGAATCACATATTGCTTAGGCCAAAACTGGAGACTATTTTCCCATGACACTGAAGCATCCTTAATGAACGTGAAAAGATCTTGAAAAATTTTCCATTCCTGGTCCTTTGCATTGATACTAGCGAGAGGCTCTTGATTTAAGGAATTGGTTTTGTGCTTCCCTTCCATTGATTTAACCTCTATTTCTGAAGGGTGTTTTGATACAAAATTCAATGTCCAGGATGTGAAATGTCTAATGTGTAATGTTTCACAGTTGCAGAGAATGCTTATGAAGGAAGTTGATACATATTTCACGGTAGAAGAGACAGGCGAGAGTGGTGAACCTTCACAGCACCATCCTTTCTTTGGTCTCCTCACAGCAGATCTGACACTCATCCGACCAATTGTTGATGCGCCTGGTGGGTGGCGGTCACCCCCATCCGGCTCCTGTATGTATCCTCCCTATACTGTTAATGCCACCACCAAGAGCTGTAATCTCATTTTGTCATGCACCCTATAATACATAAGCTTTAATTTTTATATTTATTACATAAACATAATAAATATATATTGATTGTTGGATCCAGAGATCTATTAAATTGGCTTCAACTTATTTTTAACTGCACTTCTATAAGCATCTAATATGTTTTACTGTACAGTAAGTATTGTTGAAATGAGTCAACATTGAATAGAAGTTATTAAATATTAGACTTGCTTATGTAAATTCAGTTGACGGTATATTATTTTATAACATTTGATTTTTAAGTGAATGTCTATGAAGGAGAACATATTGTGATCTTGCATCTTCCAGTTATGCTGACTCAAGTTATATTAATGTTTACTGTACATCTTTTATTTATATTGTACTTTATGTAAAATGTGAAGTACAATGTTTCCTCTCTTGTATCCATTACTTTCATTCAAAGCAGTGATACTTGTCATGATTTTTAAAACAATACTGACATTTTACTTCATTCATTGATACTTTCACTTAAGTGTTCTTTTAGTAATACATAATGTACATAGTTACTTTTTGCTGATGATACTGTGCTTATGGGAGATTCTAAAGAAAAATTGCAAAGGTTAGTGGATGAGTTTGGGAGTGTGTGTGTAAAGGTAGAAAGTTGAAAGTGAACATAGAAAAGAGTAAGGTGATGAGGGTATCAAATGATTTAGATAAAGAAAATTTGGATATCAAATTGGGGAGGAGGAGTATGGAAGAAATGAATGTTTTCAGATACTTGGGAGTTGACGTGTCGGCGGATGGATTTATGAAGGATGAGGTTAATCATAGAATTGATGAAGGAAAAAAGGCGAGTGGTGCGTTGAGGTATATGTGGAGTCAAAAAACGTTATCTATGGAGGCAAAGAAGGGAATGTATGAAAGTATAGTAGTACCAACACTCTTATATGGGTGTGAAGCTTGGGTTGTGAATGCAGCAGCAAGGAGACAGTTGGAGGCGGGAGTGTCCCGTTTAAGGGCAATGTCTGGTGTAAA